ATTGAACTTATCGATTAGATAGAAAAAATATATAGTTTTGTATTTATCTATCCACTATTGGATATCTCAATCCATGTCTAGAGTACTACGACATTACGGCATTCCAATTTACGGTAGAATTAATTGCCCCATACATTTGAGTGCAATTTATATTAATTCTTAAGATAAAAAACAAGCCGTATAAAGAACAAGAATGTACATGACGGATTAAAACAGACAAAATAACATTAACGCTAAATGAACAAATGCATTTAATAAAATCAAAACAATAATAATGTTGCAGATTCATACATTATGATAAAAAATCATTTAACCAATCACGATTTATATCTTCGCTAGTGGATCATGGAAGATTAAATAAAAACAAAAGCATCAAATAGCATTTATTTTACAGAAACATTATCAAAATCAAGAATTTAGCGGTACCTATGGAGAAAAATACACAGGTTTAACAAAATCTGATATCCAAGAACAATTTTTCATTCTAAATATCTATTAAACATTGTAAATATCTATTAACCATTTTAAACATCTATTAAACATTATAAATATCTATTAAACATTATAAATATCCATTAATCATTATAAATATCCATTAAACATTGTAAATATAACATCAGACTTTCATAACGAGATCATGGAATCATAGTCACGATTGGCACAACCAAAAATCATCTGACAGTTATGCATACATAAATTTGTCGATTTGGTTAGCGTTAGGTATGTTGCATACGAAACGTTCAAGAGAATTCGGGTTGGAAAAAACTTTGCAATTTGCACGAATCATGAATCACCAGATTTTTTATATTTAATGCAAGAGACGAGAGTAAATGTATAATCTCATGATCACGTAACATTAATGCCTTAATGAATTCGAGTTTGTCAGAATAATCGATTGCATCGAAGAATTCGAGATGATTATAATTGGTTATTCGAAATTTCCAAGGAACAATTAATAACGCCGGAAAAAGGTTTAATGGTTCATTAGGACGACTAATAGAAAACATGTAAAGGAACCATTGTAAAATGACATCGTTGTGTGATGTTAATTAACATCAAATTTAACGTTAACGTTAACATTAATGATGATACACCAAAATTACATATAAGGTAACCCAAATAATTCGTGGACAGGTAAATTATGGTATCACACAAACTAATAAGCATTGTAACGATATTAGCGACGCGATACGAACCGGTGAGAAACTAGATAAAAGTATATAATTCAGTTAGAAAAGAATTTTTTTTCCTGCGAATTAGAGAACGAATTTATTTAAGGCGCTTTATTTTTAAACATTGTTATTTTTCGTATTTTCGTATTCTCTACATAACATTGTTTTTATTCGTTTGACATTGTGAAGAA